GTACTTCCCCGCTCCAATCTTCGTTTTCTCCCCGAACTGCCAAGTTGTGGAACACCCAACTTTCAGTTTTTCCCCCAACTTATAACCTTACACATTTTAAACGTCGAATTAATAAACTGAATCTTACGTGAATGTTCCCCTACTCTCCCGTTTATAGTATGCTATTCGTCTATGGGGATTTGCCCTTTTACTGTAATTCACATTTTGTAATAGAAATATATATGTATATGATAGTCGATTTTCTAGCCATTTTTTGAGGACTCACAAGCACGTAGAATTTTTTTACTTGTTGGACAGCTATCAATTTTTACAGAGTTAGTTGCCGGCAACTGAATTGCCTCATAATCGGCTCCGAATCGATTCGGGGTTCGAAGGGTCAACCGAAGATCGCTTCGAAATGCTTTATCCGGTATTCTGACGCCTCTATCTAAACGTTATACATCGCTCCGGTATTTCGTATTGTAATGGCCATGCCCTTTACCGGGCTACCCCTCTGTCTCTGTCTATCTTTGACTATCACATTCCTTGATTCGTTTTCGTGAATTAATTGGTGGTTCTCGTTCTTCTGCCCTTCTACCAAGCGGTGAACGATAAAACCGGAACAGCTAGCTGGTAAGATCAAGAGAAACTAAACTTGACCACTTAGCCCCCCCCCTGGTAGTTTTCTTAGATGCAGGGAAATCGACTACAACTGTTTCTTTGTATTGTGGATTGTGTTCAGCTTCAGTTAGAATAGGACTGCATCTGTTTCTGTTTTCGCCACTATGGTAACATAAACCTTTTTGGGTCATAATTATTCAGGAAGCATTGTTGGTGTTCCGCGATCAGATCAAATGCAAGAAGTCAATTTTATTCAGTTTGTGCTGGGTTTTAGAGTGTGTGAGAGAGAGAAAACGTGTCGATACGAAAACAGCGATTTTGTCAGCATTTGGATACCAAGTCCGTGCTCAACTACACACACACGCAGTCACTTGAAAATATTTGTTTTCACATGCTTACCGACGGCGCGTGTGCGTGTGAGGGAGAAAGAGGCAGCGTTTGTATGGCCGCGGAATCCTTCGTGAAAGTTTACTGTTCATTTCTATAATCAATAAGCACTAAAGGAAGTAAAACCCAAAACAGAAAAATAGGGTACACATGGCATGACAGGAGCAATAATGGCCTATACCCCAGGGTGAATCGGTTCCCTAAACTAAGTGTTGCATATTTTCTAATTCGCCGAAACAAAACGCCTCTGCCACTCACAGAATTGCATTCTGTTGAAATATGTTTGCTGTTCAGTGCCAGGTGTACACTCGTGTGTCCCTCTGTGTTGAATCATTCGACAACTATAATGCTAACCTGCCTTTCCCCTCCAGTCTGTCGTTGAGATTTTCGGCCGAGGTGTATTGCTTTATTAATCTAATTTTGCTTAACTTGTGTTAAAGCTTATTTGTAATACTATACCAATCGTTTTTCTGTATCACCATCCCCTGTCACATTCCTAATTGCAATTTACGACCTACCTAACCCCAATTTTTATTTGCGGGGATCGTCTCCTGTCTTCAACTGCATTATTCAATGTGCCACGCACATTTTCGTTCCTTCCCTCAAAGTAGAAGCGTTCTACTCCGCTCCGTCCGGTTTCGAATGACAATTGGAAGCCTTTGTTGGTGACTTCAATCGCAGTTTTTGCAGTAAACCACTGAAAGTAACAAACGTTTGTGGTTTGAAATGTCAGTAAAAAACTTTCCTACTTCCGGGTTTACTCCGGTATCGCCTCACGAATGAAATAGATATTCCTCCGAACAATCAGTATTTTTCAATTCCCATCTCTCTTCTGATCGGTTGCAGTACTGATCGCGGAAGTAAGTAGTCGCATAATTTGGAGAAATTTTTGCGTCTTTTATTAGCGTTACACAGTTGCTCGACCGGCTAACTGCATCTGGTCATTGACAGTACGGCTTAGTAAACTCCATTATACCATCACAAGGTACATTCACTAAAGTCAACTAATAGATTAGAGGTACCTTAAAAAGTTGAAGCCCCTGCCTAATCATCTTATCTGAGAATGATTTCATTTTCCGAATGCTGTCCATAAACATTCAATGAATATGCTTCCATGACAGTAATTTGTAGGCTGCAACTATTCGTTGCTACATAATATGCAATTTATTCCTCTTTATTGTGCCACATTCGTCCTTCGGGGTGCACTTAAAAGGTTTCACTGCTCTCCTTTTCGGCCTAGCGATCGCCAACCTCATTCCAGTCCTTTTCATGGATTGTAATCAGTGAATTATGCAACAAGCCTCATATTAATTGTTATATGATTTATGCTTCCTGGAACCTCGGTGACTAATCACATCCTCTTCATTCTGATTCTTCTCTTTGTGATTCCCATCGTCCGAGTGGGTCAAGTTTTCGCCTTAATCTGAATCGAGTAGAAAAAAAAAATCAAAATTTCCGTTATCCGTATCCTCCTTGATAAAGACGATGTTGGTAGTGAGCTGCGGATGAAAGCTTGGGTTTGAATAGTTTATATCCACTCTCTCATGTTTTTTGTTCCTCTGCAACGACTTTACATGTTTGGAAAAATAATAAACCTTGGATATACTTGCTTTACCCAAGTCTGGCTCATGTCAAGCGCAATTTTTCCTTCGGTTCGTTCCTATGCCTACTGTGTTGTCTGTGCAGTGTACGTCATAACTAGTCCAGTCTGTCCAGACCGCTTGATCGTTGTCAGGCAAGGATGATATTCTCGCGCAACACGTGACACAAAACATTTTCTCTAGTGATTGCTGAATTTCTCGATCATGATTGTCTTATGCGGCTATTCCAATTTGCAATACCGATCGGAAAACATGCCCACCCCTGAGAACCTCCCCCCCCACCCCCTCGACAGCATTGCGGGTGTATGCGGCTGGATACGCAAGCCTGTCACTGGTCTCGTGTAANGCTACTTTTTATTTCAATTTTTTATCTATCGGAGTCCGGTAATCATCTGACCCTAATGCAACGTATGCTTTGCAAAAACAGTTCCGATCTCTTTCTCCTGCTCCGAACACCGCAGTTTCGGTGTCACTCTCAACATGTGGCATATATGCCTAAAGATCGCTTAATTCGGTGAAATGGGAATGATTGATTGTGGTTTAGTATAGTTTATCCATTGGATGACCAGACGGTAAATACCAGTATGGTGTGCAATTCTCTTATTCATTGGTTTGAAAAAAATATGTCACGTCCATTCAAATGAGTAACATAGTGTCAGTCTATTTTGTTGCCATCGCTGGGAAACACAGATTAACTACATCGGATACAATTACAATTTTGCTAAATTACTATCATTATCATCTTCGTGTAGTTTAATCATGCTCATTATCCGCTAGTTAATCCTCATGGGGATTGGAGCCTAATTCGCATTTCAGCTCGTTCCTGTTTACCCCAGGCTGTATGGGAGAACAAAGTGCACCACCAATTGTGGTTCAAAGAAGCGTTGAATGATCTAGGGCAAAGCTGCAGAACGCAAAGAAACACCAGCAGGTGATCGAAGTGTTGTGGAAATTCTGGATAATCCATCCATCAGAAGTGTCTTGAAGTAGAGAAAGTTTCATCTAGAATTTGTTTGTACTCTGTATGCTCTGTGTAGCTCCGCCCAACAACCCCCACCCCAAACAAGTGCGTTAGTTGTTGCTATTGAATGGAAGCGCTGGTGATGATTACAGCATATCTCACCTACATCTCATTATGTTTCTCCACGGGGTTCCGTTAGAAATCTGTGCGCATCTTCTTCATTGTGACACTTCATTAAGATGTGAAACTAACAAAAATGTGCTTCAATGCACTCAGTTTTATGCTAATCTGAGCTACTTTTACTCGATTGAACATTGTCACGGTGCTACATGCCTCAGAAATGAGGTGTGAATTTGTGCTGCAAAGTAATAATATTACATTCACAATTACACTTAGCAAATAGTCACCAGGGTGTTTATGCTATTAATATGTTTTAAGGGCAAGGAATGAACTAAAACTTTCACATTCAATACAATAATAGGTTGATGAAAATCCTTTTTTTGCGCCTTTTATCACTTACTCATCAACCCCAAACCTACGTATTCCGTTTATGCCTGACACATTCTTCACAGTGTTGACGGGTTTCGTTTCTTTGTCTCCTCTCTCATCGAGTTCAAAACCGCCTTGATCTCATCTCGTTGTTGTCAAGGTGCACTAGCCATTCCTAGAGATTACAAACATCCTAACAATCATTTTTAGCCACTGAGAACCACGAAAGATGGGGGTATTTGTCCAGTCGAGGTGGAGAGTGAAAGATAGGATGTCGATGGGGGCCAGTTGAACTGAGCCTTAAAAAGTTCAGCCCAACGGTCGAGACGACGTTGCTGATCGTGAGTCAGTGTGCAGCTGCATTCCTTAATTACCTCAATTACGCCTATTTTCCTAGGGCCCGTATTCCTAATTAGATGGAATAGGTTACGACTATTACCAATAGCCGCAGCTTTCTCCATCTCTTTACACTTTTCTACCCACCAATAGCCACAGCTTTCTCCATCTCTTTACACTTTTCTACCCACCACTTCTCGCGGTCATTCCTCAGACTCTTGGTGAGCTGGCGTTTAAGGGATTTGCGCACTGTCGTATGTGGTATCCGGAGGAAGGATTCTGCGGGCGTCCAGCAGGGCAACCGAGGTCGACGAAATCCATCGTTTGTGTTTTGAGCTTGAGGCACGGTCCGACGTTGTTTTTATCGANTTTATCGATATCTGCATAGCTTCCTTGATTTGCTTCCAGTGTTCATTGAGTCCTTCGACTGGCGGTTGAACTGACAGGCAATCGGAGAGCTCCGCTTCGAAGGCCGATTTGCATGCGTCACTGACACTGTATCGCGGATATCCGTTGTCGGTGGCTTTTTCACGGTTATTTGCCAGGCGTAAGGAGAACTTAGCTTGTAACAAGGCGTGGTCTGTGTCCACAGCTGTTGACCAGTAAGAACGGCAGTCTTGAATTGATCTCCTCCAGCAGTAACTGATGGCGATGTAGTCGATTTGGGTCCAGCGCAGATTGGTCGTTTCCATGTAATTCGATGGCGTTTCTTGTGCCAGAAGTTCGTGTTTGACTGGAATAATCCGTGGTCCGTGCATAGTTGAATTAGGCGATCGCCGTTGTCCGTCCGGTTGGCTGGGATTGCGTGTGGTCCGCCAAGAAGCCTTTCTGGTTCGTCGTTTAAGTCCCCGGTGACTGCTACGACGTCCGTTGATCGAGCACTTTGGAGTAGTTGAGAAAGATCCTGGTAGACTTCATCCTTGATTTCAGGTATACTGCAATCGGTCGGTGCATACGCCGATACGCCGAATAAGCATCGACGCTTCATTCTGTAACTGTTGACTCGAACTGAACCGTTGAGACGTACAGCGCACTATCACCTACTGACTGAAATCCAGTCAAGAAGCGAGCGCTCAGCCTTGGCACTTAGCGCAATCTCGACACCAGCAACATCGCGAGCTTCGGATGCTGAATCGCCTGACACGAAGGGTGAAGCGTGAGGTTGAGGTTGGATCAGGAGAACGCAGAGAGATAATGGAAGTGGGGTCTTGTATGCGTGTTTCTGAGACAACACACATCTACATTGGAAGTTTCGAGGGTTCTAGCTAGGGCAGCTTGTTGGCCGATCTGATACAGCGTGTGGACATTGAACGCGGCCAAGTAAAAGGGGATTTTGGTTTTAAAAATTCTATAACTTCTGAATCTCTGGCCTTGATGGTAAAACGCTGAGTAATATTCGATGGGTGGTGTAAACAGGAGGCATCTGGGATTCTTCGGTGTTGAGAAGAAAAACTAGACAGATGGGAAGGGTGGTTTTCCAAATGGGTACCTAAGACTTTAGGCGCGACGTACTTTGCGGTAGCCCACACCGACGAAGGGTTTTTCTTTGGAAACCCTAACCGGAGCCTTTGACTCAACAGTCTGACCCGCAAGGCAGTGGGGCGTAAATCCAACGCGGGAGCGTGAACGAAGCACCCGTGTGGGAGCTTTTGGAAACCTGTCACGCAAGGCCTTTGAATTTCGGTCAAGTTTGTTGTTCGCTGATGCGTTGATTATCGGTCCGCTTTTCGGGATCAGCCCTTAGCTTCATGCACCCAATGAGACAAGCGGAATGTCGACGGGACAGCACCTTATTTTCTGGGGGCTGCCCAGCTTGGGCGGGTGGCAGCTGTCCAATGAAGTGCGAAGACTTCTCCCATCGTCGAGAGGAAGCCCTAGGTACTCCGCTCCTACGTCCGTCTAGCGGGGGTTTTTCGACCGGTAAACTGCCCCTCACCGGGTGTGGATAGAAGGAGGGAAGCCAGGAGGTGCGCAAGCAGCTGGCTTTGTGAGACTGCTTCGTCTGGCCTCTACTCGTTGACCTTTCAGGCATGATTGGATCTACGGCTGTGAGAAACCATCCTGAGTAGCTCGCAGGGTCATTGAGGCAAGCAAGTCATCACACCACGTTAAGGTGCAGTCTCGTCGTAACAGGGGCTATCATTTGTGAACGGTGCACATTCATTCGCGCGTAGCGCGCAAACACACCAACCAGAACTGTGGTTCCTTCGTGTAATCCCACTTGTATGTGTGTGTGCTTGTATGTAGGTGAGACATATAGCAAACATTCCATTTCGCCTGTTCGCCGAGCTTGGCAATTTGTTTGCAAACGTTTCATCACCAGCCGAGGTGACATCATCAGTGCTTGTGAAGTGAATTATTTCATTTTATTGTCTTTGGGAATATTGACTCGTCAATAATTGGCTTCCTTTTTCCCCTCTCCCAGATCGATTCTAGTTCTCCAGTGAGGTAATAAGAACGCCACGTTCCATACATTTAGATGCTTGTGATGCTAATGGGTTACTCCTGTTGTGTTATTTGTATGCACTCGTGTCAACGGGGCACTCGATGTGCATTTGAAGAATGTACTCTATCTGTTGTATACATACAATGATCTGGGAATTCCTAGCTCAATGCATGTCCCCAACGTCCCCACGGGTTAGTCAGCTATTACGTTCTTCAATGCCTGGGCAGTAAAGTCCCAGGGTAACATTTTTTATCTCAACCTTTTCTTTCAGGCTTTACAAATATACCGATACAAATGTTCCGACATTGTTAGTCCACTGTGTAGAAACAAATACGGGGAGACTAGCTTATCGATTTGCACCGTTGTGCCCACCGTGTGGTATGTTCTCTGGGCGTACCCTGTACTGGAACAGTCACATCCCCCCATATTTGCGATTGATTATTGCAACAATTTTCTGAAGTATGTTATTCGGCACCTTTTGGTCGTGGTGCTATTTGGAGTTCAGTCCTGTTGTTGCATTGTTTTTGATTTGATCGATGCTTTCGCCTTCTCTCTTTCTCTTTATTGCACGCATCACCACAGTCTGACCTACTCGTTCGAATAGAACCGCATCTTTTCGAATGGTTCGGCTGGTACGGGAATTGCGCCCCACGGATGATGAATCCGCAAGATTTACGCGCGTGTGGTTATCAGGTTGATGTGAACTATCGTCCATTAAGCTCCAGCACCGATTTCGATCCGGAAGAGACGATTTCGAACTATTACGATCGTACTGGTGGATTGACCAAACGATTGTTAAGTCAACATAAATCCAAGGGTAAATTGTCATGTACAATTTTTCATTTTACTTCCTTTTATTGAGTAGACAAAGATGCAATTTTCAGGAAGTGGAAAGCGGGTGGTTGTGGCGCAGTGGTTTAGTCGCTGTCACCGGCGCGCTTTGGATCCTATGGTCCGAGGTTCGAGCCTCTCCCCCCAACTTTGGTGGTAGGTAGCTCTACTGTCGTCCGGTTCAATACCACGCCTAACCTATCGGAGCCTTATGTGGTTCACCACTCCAAATCCTGGGACTTAGGTTGCCGGTCTTCACCACTGAAAAACAGATCCTCGTGACCGTGGGGTTCGCCCCGTCTGGGTGTGCAATAAAAAACAAAGGGCTAGCTTTCAACGCACAATGTAGGAAGTCAGGTGGCGGTGGTAGGATTCTACAACATCCCCGGGGTGATAATTTGGTGACATTACCACTGAGTCACCGCCGCAATTATTGCTTTAGAGAATTTATTGATCAGGTATTGAGAGAGCCTGTTCGGTTCACATTGTTGTTTCATTTGGCAAGCGGCTACTCCCCACACCACATACTACTTTCCTCAATAGCACTGTTGTGTTTTACCGGTTGCTTCGGTTTACCTGCCTGAGTACTTCTCACACCGAGACCGTTTGACCCCACTGAGTCTCAAGTTTACTGTATAGCTAGAAGAAGAGTCAATTTTCGAATAGTCATTCAGATTGTGAGTTTCGCAACCGTCGGTGGATCGAGATCAGGTCGCGTCAATCTGTAACAGTTATCATTGGCCGATTTGCTGTCACCGGACTCACTGTCCTTCATTATACGACCTGTACTATTTGTGATTTCATATGCCATTTCTTCGAGCTCTGCTCACAAAGTAAACAGCGGTTTCAGTTCTCGCAACCATAGTACAAAACACTGCTAGCCGTCACATTGTGCGCCCGTTCCCTCCGGACAATGTGCATGTCGTGATGCGTGTTTTGGGGGTTGGCAAACTCGCCAACCTGGTTGTCTTCACTCCATTGGCGCCATTTAAATTCAACTTCCCCACCCTCTAGTCTTTCACTGACGTCTTTTGGTAACCCTTTTGTCCCATCAATGAAAGACCAA